TTAGAAGATTCTCCTTGCTTTCTAACGCACCGTGCAAGATACTGCTCTCTGAGCAAGGCAAGAACTATAAAGACATCAGTTCAAATCTCACAAATACAAGACTGAATATGATGTAATTTTATAACTTTCATTGGGGATTTTCTTATATCATTGTTTTATTTTGTTTATTTAAAGTTCTCAAAATTTAAAATGATATCTTAAGTTATACTTATATCTGAGGTTGCAATGTTAATCAATTTTAATATCTATTAATTGATTGTGTAGGACAATCATAAATTGATTTAAAGGATACATTTATGATCAAAGCTAATATAAATAAGCGTTAAAAATAGTTTGGTGTATTTTTTTTCGAAATTTCAATAAAATTGAGAAAAATTTCGAAAAATTCCATTTATTTCGAAAAATAAAGCCCCAATCGTTCTGAAACTATCATTCGCCTGCCATAATGTGGCCATTGCGGTCATTTTGCACACCCTGTGGAGATCTCAAGACCTTCGGGAGCCGAATAACCAATATTAGGGGTGGGGCGTATGAGTTCCTGGAGAAAAATGACTATAAAAATGTTTGCCCAAAAGTTTCAGCTGGACGGTTTTTTTTGGTGGTTCCTGGGACTATGGACAACACATTCCTGTAGACAAACCTTTGTTACGAATTTGTTCACAGAAAAATCAACTCTTGCCCTAACTATAATCCTTATCACAATCACATACTAAACTAACTTATCAAATTAAATCTTAATTGCTATGCAATCCTAAACTAATTCAAATATGAGATATAAAACATGATTGATTAAATTTAAGACTTATCATAATTAAATATAAAACTAATTAACGAGGGTGAGTGTAAATATATGGAAAGTGGACGATGAAACATAAATTTCAGTACCACATTTCATTTGCTTCATTCTGCTCCGAATTTTGATATGTCCATCACTTATGATCACCATGGCTTGTTGGCCAAAATAGAGTTTGTGGGTGGGTATATGAGGATAACTATCGCCTCAGCTATACCATTCAAAATGGAGGTACAGCGGTACAACATCTGGGATAGGATGCTAAGACGACGAGCAAGGAAGTTTGAGGGACAAAATGTAAGTATCATTGTTCTTTATTGTATATATTATATGATTATTTGCTATTTTTCACCAATAAAATTGTCAGTAACATCCATCCTCGGATCGCTTGAGGCTGTTATTTTACTGATCATTTTACAAGTTAGATCTCATACTAATTAATACTCTACAATCATGATGAATAGAATAAACAACCTTTCAAAACGGATATGCCATGTCTGAGCCCGTACCTATTGATGAGTTTGAATGGGTAAAAGAGGATGTTGCTACCGCCTGGTCCACGAGTGTTATTATGGCTCTGGATCCAAACACTCTTACATTCTGGAGGTTGACCTTGAAATTACAAAAGAGATTCATGATCAAACAAGCGACTATCCTCTTAGTCCAGAAAGGCTAGAAATCAACAAAGATATGATTTCCCCCAAATCATGGTCAGTTCTTGAAGTTTTATCACATCCATAAGTGGGAATAAGTTATAAAAGTCAATCAAATTATCACTAGTAACATTTTAGGGAACTCATGGCCTACCCCACATCTTTATTCATCACGTACTATTTATTTCAGGGAGAAACGAGTTCAGAAGGGATGTGGTAACGATTTCAGCTCAACCAAGCTCGCTCCTAATTTCTTCCCAAAGAAGGCATATGTGATTCATCTTAGAAATCTCCAGTTCTATCTCCAATTCTATCAGAGTCAAGGTGTTCGGCTTACAAAAGTACGTCGAGCAATTCGGTTTCGACAAGTTGTTGTAGCAAAGGTAAAGCTTAGTCTACGGATAAGCAAGACGGAGAAGAGGGCTCCGGTTCTGGACTGGTCTAAACTTAAAACTTATATCGCTCTACAAGAGAGGTACACAGTGGAAGTTAAAAACCGCTTTTCCATACTTGAATAGGATGATCAGACAGCAACAGAAAGGTACCAATGCTTCATTGATGCGAATATGACAACTTCTCGACTTTTACTACCTGAAAAGGAGAAAAAGAAAAGATGTAAAATCTCAGCGACTCCAAGTGTTGAGATTGCCAGGCTGAAGCTGAGGGAATGTAGCATAAAATACCACTCAGATGCTACAGAAGACAACCGAATAGCTGTTCAAGAGGGCAAACAGAAGCTAAGCGATGCTTATCAAGCAGCCAACAAGATTAAATTGTTCATAGCGGCTTGTGAATCAGTACTGCTCTACGGATCAGAAACCAAAGGCTCAAGAGAAAAGTTTGGACGGGACATACACAAAGATGTTGCGTATGGTGCTGGGTATCTCGTGGAAGGACAAGGTCAGCAATATAACTTTGTATGGTAGCCTACCAAGGCTGTCAAACAAGTTACGAAGCAGGAGATTAAAAATGGCGGGGCACTGCATCCGACATCCTGAGCTACTTGCCAGTGATTTAGTCTTATGGGAACCTACGGACGGTAGAGCACAGCAAGGCCGACCAAGACAAAGCTACTTGTCTATGTTACTGAAGGAAGTTGGGACAAACTCTAAAGAGGAACTGCGAACCCTGATGCGGGACAGGGATATATGGAGAGGGTTATCTGGCGTAGATCGGACTTAGCTCCGACAAAGTAGTAGTACTAGTAGAAGTAGTAGTTGACAGGCAATCTTGAGGTCCCCTGTCAAATTACCTAATTATATAGCAAATCTGTTAAGAGGGGAGAGAGAGCAAGACAGGGAGATCAGAGTACTGATAGTATCACATTTGTCAAAATGATCAATTAAACCACTTACCACCGATCGATTTGAAAAACCTTTTTCATTTGGCTTCGTCAGAGTTTTGTTGGCACTATACCGAAAAATCCAGTCCCATATCTTTTACCGTTTTCTTGATGCAACCGTTCGGAAATTACACGCGAACACACGCACAAACACACATCTTGAGCAGAGAGAAGATTCTTGAGATTATTAGTACAGATGGCCTATGATCGTGATTCGTGACCACTGACCAGGATTTTATTCAAGGTACGGTACGGAGTAGTCGAATTACTTAGGAAACACAACAGGTCTGTTTGAGTTTGACAGAGTGACTTGAACTCGCAACTTCTTCTTTTTATAGTTCTCCGTTACATTCACTCTTTCAGTACGAGCTTACTGGGCGGCGCTCGGCCTGTCATTCCGCCGAATCTCTTTATGAACATCATGAATAAATGATAGCCTGAGGTCCCCAGGCAAGCTCTGCATTGTGAAGAAATTCTGACTATTAGTATTACCCCATCTATTGAAATTATTGCAATAAAGCAAAAGTGTATTGAATAGAGCTAAAGGCGATCGATCGCTAAATTTTGGAACAACATTATTTTTTCGCGCAATTCTCGCAAATCTGAAATCGTCAGCAAGAAACGAATGCTTTTGTCGTAAAAACCACTTAATTCTGTCGAACTTTATTGTGATGCCTGGACTATAGTTCGACACGAGAAGAGAAGTGCAATAATCCCCTTCTATAAAGTGGCCTTTTATAAGTATAATTATAACCCCCCTCCACCAACCCCAATAACAAATAAACTATTCATCCTAAAACCGCTTTATAATTTTATAGAGGGGCACTATAAGTATAACTGTACAGTTCACTTCAACATTGTGTGGGAACTCTTGTGAGTGAGCACAGGATGGATTTCATACCGTTACATTCACAATTTCTGTACTTCAGGCTCATAATCAGACAGTTATACTTATACTATAAATATATATAACTTCACGCTCCTACTAAATCGCTCGCCAAAATTTTAAGAAAATTCTTGTGAAACGGCCCTTTGGTTGTGAAATTGATCTGAATCGGTGTATTTTTGGGCAAAAAACCGTTTTGGTCACGTGACAGGCTAGTAAAACATGGATTCGATTGTTTAGGGCTCGGGTTAGGGTTAGGGTTGTGGTAAGGGTTATGGAATTGGATAGCTTCGGGGTTATGGTTAGGGTTAGGGTTGGGATTTGTAAAATCGTTTTGTACGGCTGCAAAACCATAAAAACCAAAGTCACGTAATATTTTTGGGAGAGCGAATTAGTAAGAGCCATAACTTCAAGCCATCCTAAATTATAGTGGTTGTTTTTCCCCAGGTGAAACTGTGTAAGGGTCCTCTGTCCTGATCACGTAATCTGAGTCTGTTTTATGAAAATTTGCTCCCAAATCACGTGACAATGTTTGGGCGAGAAAAATAATAAGAGCCATGATAAAGAACCAAGACGAAGCAAGGAGCGTGAGACGTGCATAGTGCATGATCGTGGTGTGATACGAGACATTAAGTTGAAATTATACACGAGCCTCTCAAAATCTTAACTGTTACTCAATAAATTGGTTATCATTTCCCGATTAAATACTAAAATGTGACCGGTGAAAGTATAATTTTCGAAACCTATATTAAAATTCAATACTCGCCAGAGGAATATATTAATAACTAGACTCATGTGGGTACGTCCATCTAACTATCTGAGGTTAAGACGCTCAGAGATAAAGCCATATGCTTGGCACCTCTGCAAGGGCAGCTCTCTAACAAAGTTTCCCTGTAAACTCTCAGGGATCTTGAGAAAGATCCGAATGTTTATAAAACAAAGGAAGCCAGTATACTGGTGAATTGTCATCGATGTACCGGTTCTGGTTTTATCTAGTCTGTTTGTCTTCTATTCGGGGCGTTTCGATTTTAGTTTCTCTTGTCACTCATTTTTTCAACTCAAAAGTACAAACCTATTTACCTATCGTTATTTGGTTTCATAACGACACTAAACACGCGCATTAAAATGATACAATTCCGTCGCACTAAGAACTAACAATGTTTGCTTTTTACACAAATTTATCAAAACTTCGCGCGTCTCGCGCAACAACCAGCAACCTAATACTGTGCAGTAAATGCAGCTCCAGGGAAATTTCTGATTCAAAACATTTGCAGACTCAGCGACGGGTTTTAAGTACAGCTTTGAAAATGGAATACAATTAGAGGCTCATCGAATAGAAAGTACGTCGATTCGGTGAATAAAATCAATAAACACAATTTTTACACATCTAAAATGCTGTCTCACACCGAGTCTCAACTATAAGACAAAATTTAATAATCTGATTTTCGAATGCCAAATTAGTAATCCCTTCCGTTTTCTCAGTTATATTAATTTCAAAAGAAGATAGATTAAGAATAGGGAAATATCAAATAATATATCTAGCATTGTTGGATGCATTGTATGCACTGGATATGACATATTATATCGTTTACAAAAATCCATGAGGAACAGGGAAAGAGCTTTCCCCGTCATTCTTAACCCAGCTATTACTTATAACAATTATTCGTGATTTAATATGAATACTTCTAATATGTATATTGTATGATGTTATGACAAATAAAGCAAATAACTTAACACTCCAAAACCGTTGACATAACTTAGTCATATATACATATTTTTACATTAAAATACGTCTCAATAAATAGACCCCCCTCTCAGATCATTTACGAACTAAGTAATCAATTAATCCCTTTTCAATCATTGATTTGTCACGAATCTCACATTAATCTAAAAGGTACTTAATTAACAATCACTTTCTTCCGAGCTCGGCACCGTATTTATTCCTACCGGTTAATTTATATTTCTGATAATTCCATAAAAGTCGTAATATACTTAAACCTACGTATGCGATATCTACCATCCTACGTAACTGATATTCATACAATTCGCCAGCGACAAACAGTGGAAAATCTCAAAAAATGAGTAGAAACGTTCATTCAATTAAAAGAGTTATCTTTAATTTCACACATCAATACAAAATAGGGGGAGATATGAAATGATATCCCCTAATACCAACTGAGGAGATATGAGATAATATCGCCTGATCAGCTGCGGTTATATTTGCTTGTCCAGTCCGTTCTGCCGGGTAAGTGAGCACGCCGCCCAAACTGTGGCTGTTGTGCGGGTCCTGTGTTCGCTGCCTGAGGGATTCCAACTTTCAACAGCGAGAGTTTCAACGGTTGATATGGTTGACTTATGCAGTTTCAGTTTTTAAGAACACATTTAATCAAATGTATACAGTTTTTTCACTTTTTGTCAAAACGAATCAATTTATAAAGTTACAACAAATTTTATTTCATTTTCTTATCAAAAAGGGTAGAATGTGGTCAACGTCCAAAGCTCGCCTGAACAAGTATAACTTTACTCACGACTTTATTTTTAGCTGCATTATTGCCGAATACAGGGAAATATGAAATGGAGGGCTTCTTGGCGAGGGGAGGTAGTTCACCGTCGTTACTCAGATTGGTGCTCTGTCCCACTCGGTAACGGGCTTGTCCTCGGTAATACTGTGACAGAAAAAAAAACGGCCATGAAGGGAGTATAAACGATCATTGATGTAACAATTGATGATCATGAGTGGAAATTAATTAAATCATTAATTAATCAAGCAACATGATTTAGAAGATTCACTTGTCTTTACTAGTTTTCAACTGACAAAGGATTCTTCTTTGTAATGCTAAGAAAATAAAAACAATGGATAACAATCATACGCACGCGCTAAGAGCTCATGAATGGATATTATTTCATGCTAAACTGTCGTGAAAAGTTATAAAACAATGGTAAATTGTCAATTTGTGGTTGAATGAAAAGATCTTCAATAGTTATAACAAAGAGGTGGATAATTGTTAAAGAAATGATTTTATAATTATAATTACATCGAGAGGTTTGGTCGATTTGCCGCTAGACCCACTCCACTTTGAGGCGTTGGAAATATTCAAGCCACTTGCCGCTTGGTTCGTCCTGAATGTGAATCTAAACGAACTTATAAGTGAGATATTCGAAATATCGAAATATTTACTTACAAGTTCTACATATTATATTATATGATCGCATAATTTGCAAAAAAAACACAACATTTAAAATATATTCAGAAGAAAAATACACAACATTTACATTACACAACACAGTACACACTTACACTTTTACAACGTTTTATTTGTCAAATTGTTTATTTAAAACCAGATCAGCCGAATTAGCAAAACTCTTAAAACACAGACAATTATCTGATATTTAAACGGACATTTTAGATTCCCTCAAGTTCTGCGATTTTGTGAATTAAATTTGCTCCAGGGACGATACTTCGAACTCTAAGGAAAAAAATTCTCAGTTTACGCCAAAAGTTTGGCCCTTATCATCTTCTATCGCTCCGCCTTGTATAGAGGCAGAATCAGAGCAAAATCTACTATTCATCATTTAATTGGAATGAGTACAAATATTTAATTTCCAGTTTGGAGAGAGGATATCAACTTAGTCTAGAGAGCATATCAACTTGGTCTAGATATAATATCAACTTAGTCTGCAGAGAGAATATCAACTTAGTCTAGAGAGAGGATATCAACTAACAACTTAGTTTGGAGAGAGGATGTTAACTAAGTCTGGAGAGGATATCAATTTTGTATGGAGACTGGAGTCGAGAGGCGAATCTATACACAAGATTTGTTTTTGATTGATTATACTTAAAGAGGAATAAGGGAAGAATTTCCAAACAAATCTCAATTAAACTGCAACTGGCGATTCATCTAAATGATGAAATATTGACTTGAAACAAATATTATGCAGGAAATGAGACGCAAAAAGTGGAGAACAAATATAAATTTAACAAAAACAATTAACATATAATTACAAAGAAAGTATTTACAAAATTCTGAACGGGAATAAACCCATCAAATAATAAACCCATCAAATAATAAACCCATCAAATAATAAACCTATCAAATAATAAACCTATCAAATAATAAACACATCAAATAAACCCATACGCAGACCACTTTAACTCTATTTTAACTTATCTCAAGTCCCAACAACATTCGTTCAAAATAAAGAAATCAAACGAAGCTATTCTCCATCAAGTTGCATAGCTGGATTTTTTAGACAAAATTAATTTTTAAATTTTAAAGATCCATTGGGGTGCTCCTTGAAACAATGCTATGCTAGTGCTGATTTGGAATAAGACTTATCCGAGAGGGGATATCAACTTAGCCTAGAGTGAAGATATCAACTTGGCCTGGACAGAGGATGTCAACTTATTCTGGAGAGATAATATCAACTTAGTCTTGAGGATCACACAGAAACAGGACAAAACCAAAGATTTACCTCTAGAATGACCTAATTGTATTGTAAAAATTAAATTGACAGTTAGAACTGAATTTTACCTAGCGATTGGCTGAAAACCCTGGTTCGCCTTTATACCCTGAACTTGCTCGGTCTTTGGCTTGGCCTGCGGGTAAATAATTTCATCATTATTTGATGGATCAGCTCTGCATTCAAAATAACAGAATTCTTAACTCTAATTCGTATTTGAAAGCATGTAGATTTCTACTAATACACAAAATTAGATCGTTTATCGAACGATCTATTATAACGTGTTTACCTTGACTATACTGTCGTTAAAGTCCAAATCATCTAGATCGTCGAGTGCCTTGTCGATGCTGTCGTTCATTGACACATTCCATTTTCTCCGCGCTGAGCCTCGTTGTTGGGTCGATATCGTGGTTGTAGAGGGTACTGAGGAAGAGAGGATATTAATAAGGTGACTAATTATTTAATTAACTGATTAGTTCTGCCCAGATCCGAAATATCTTTACTTAAAATAACCAACAACCATTAGTACAGTTGGAATGCATCTATTCACAAAATAATTTCTAACCTCCGATACTTGGAAGGATATTCTGCCTGATTGGAGCGGAAACCTTTTCATTGTGACCATCCGTCAACCGTGATATTAATTTAGCCTGAGGGGAGAGGTTGTTAACTTCTAGCCTGAAAAGAGAAGATATCAAGGTATAAATTTAGTCTTCAGAAAAGAAAACAACTTTGTCTGGAACGATGGTATTAAAAGAGTTTGCAGGGAAAGGAAATGAAAACAACGAAACCTGGAATAAAATGGTAGTGTGGCTATCTAATTAGTCAGATACCATATCAAAATATTATAGCAGATTTAAGTTTCTCCATAAAATAAATCATAATGATTCACAACCCCCTCCAAATACTCCTATTAAAACACACAACCCCCTCCAAATACTCTTATTAAAACACACAACCCCCTCCAAATACTCCTATTAAAACACACAACCCCCTCCAAATACTTCTATTAAAACACACAACCCCCTCCAAATATTTCTATTAAAACACACAACCCCCTCCAAATATTTCTATTAAAACACACAACCCCCTCCAAATACTCCTATTAAAACACACAACCCCCTCCAAATACTCCTATTAAAACACATATATATTTAATATTTATGTGAATTTCATTATGCCTAAAATATCCCTACCGTATGATTAATCTCCTATCTTAAGAATATCAAGTATTAGTAACCATAGCAACCACAGAGCATTATTCCATGAATAAATCTAGAATTAGCAAACACGGCTGCTCGCTGGCTCAATGTCAAATGTTATGGATCCATTAAGTGGTGGATCAAATGTCGTAATAATGCATCGCTTCGACCTCGTGGTTTCTCACACGTGTAACTCGAAGGAACGATTAATGATCAGTGGTCACGAGGCATAATATTTTCTGTTGATGTGTTCGCGATTCCTGGGATTAGCAGGTGCTTGTTAACCATAACCAGATGTCTTTTTTCAGTTATTGACAAAATCTGTAAGATGTGATCACCAGCTTAGTACGATGAAGACTATGTAATTATATTAGATATCTAGACTTTTATAGAGGAAGTGTTAAGTAACCTAATATTTTAAAACCATTCTAGTTGACCGCCTGAATCAATGAATAAACTGTCTATTCAGTGGTTCAATGGTATGGCACAGAGAAAATAAAGTAAATGTTAATCGTGTCGGTTCCTTCGGGACTACATTTCTGTATCAACTAATTCAGCCTTATCAGTTACACCTCCTTATCAGTTACACCTCCTTATCAGTTACACCTCCTTATCAGTTACACCTCCTTATCAGTTACACCTCCTTATCAGTTACGCCTCCTTATCAAGTTATCAGTTACACCTCCTTATCAGTTACACCTCCTACAACACCTACACTTAGCTGCATTTAAAAGTTCTGTTATTAAGATGATATTAATAACCCACTAAATCTCCATTACAACATTACAGACCACTCAGACAACCAACAATAACCTCTAGATAGAGCTTTAGATAGCTCTAGTGTAGTGAGTATAGTAGTATAGTGAGAGCTTCACATCACAAAGTCTTATCCTGGTTATATCTAATCCTAGTCTTATCAGAAACACCACCTTAATCAAGAAGACCAGATACACTCAACTGAATTTAAAAGTTCTGTAACTACGTGCACTACCCACTAAAACACCATTAATATAACAGACCACTGAGTATTCAACCAATAAACAGGTCTCTCTAAAGCATTACACCGTATCTCTCTCTCTCTCTCGTTCTCAGACCACCAGGAACAACACTAATACAGTAATGCAGGGGGAGGAAGGGTGAAGAACAGAGTCAATATAATCTTGACACGCAACAAATCATGCAGTGATCAATCAGCTAATTGCACCAGACACCTGTGTATTTTGAGGTAGACACAACATGTAAACATCTACGTACTATAAAATAGTACATACTATAAACCTTAAAACTCTCGCGATTGGAGCACTAGTCAAATATAATATGTTGGCATATTTATCATATTTTATCATGTACATGCATATTGAGAGCCTACTGATATATATCAAGTGAGTATTGAGGAGGTCAATGTTATCTTCAATAATCACTATTTATTCGCTAACACTGAATAATTGTTTGTGTACAAAATCATGCAATAAGACGGACCATGGGTGCTGCAAACATCTTACTCCACGGTCCATATCCCAATACCTTGATCAAATAAGGAAGTGAGGTGAAACAAGAAAACAAACATACATCTGGGGCATGTTTCTCGGCTCCCATGGACATGTTGCTCTCGCGGCGTCCGATAGTGCCGAGCATGCCGCTCGCGCGTCGCCTCATCGTCCTCGATCTGAACTGAGAGTTGGAGCGTGGCATATCTGCGCCAACTTGGAAGTAGGGATATTTGAGGCACTGTGCGGCGGTGGGGCGCTTGTTGGGGTTCCATTCCAAGGAGTCCTGGATGAGTTGGAGAGCCTCAGCGCTGGCGTTCGGGAGGAGGGTCTTAAGAGGAGTCGGTACCTGGAAATGTAAGGAGGTTGTAATGATTGTATCTGATGATGCAACTGCAAGTCTATGTCTAAAGCATCATCATGTATAATCATATCGTATGATTTTCCCTTGACCTGAATCATATATGATATAATGATGTAATGTGTCTCATGTAGAATTGTGCAGCCTTGACAAGCTTGTCAAGCTTTAACAGTTACCGTCTACCGCAGACTTTTTAAAAACTTCTCACAATCTCCACTAGGTGTTAATAATCCAAACAGTTAACATATGATCTCCTCGTCATGGTGTCACGGGAAGTGACATAATCACTATAGATCACCTGGTGATCACCACATGGTTACACGGTTACCATGTCGGCATGTCTCGTGACGAAATCTTATGACGCTAGAATAGTCTATAGTGTTTAACATTGAGATACGTTGCTTGCCACCAACCTACGTGCAGCGATCAGCACACGTGGACTGATACAACGCGTGAGTTGATAACACACGAATGCATGCTATGCTAAAAATGTGACTAAACATTGAGAGCGATTATTATATACAATATGGTAGTTGGCTTTAAGAGAAATTAACAATTCAGGCGTTTAGCAGTGCTTATAAACAGATGGAAGTAAGACATGCAATAAATGCATGATATTAAAACGTTAAAAATCTCGCAAAATATCGTTGAAATTTTTTGACGTCTAGCGATTGGTTTATGAAACGTAGGTGTGACCGTTTTTTTCCACAAAAACTCATGACCTAATGCCACAATTATAGAAAAATGTAATGCGTGATATCAATGAATAAGGCTTATGCTTATTGCTGATCAAACTAAAATTCAAGTATAAAACGAAAGATTTGGGAAGAGTTTAGTTTCTAACTAACACATTGTGGGAACTTGAAGTTCATGGACTGCGCTAGTTTCAGTCCCTCTGGCCAGTCGTCTTTGGACGGTGTTCCTAATACTCTGACTATTCTGAATATCTCATCAACCTGCAGAGGGAATAGCGTTACAGTAATATAAGTTTAGAATTTATCTAAATAGTTGAATTATGTACAAACGTTTATCTGCAGGGTCACAGATTTTCTGATGAAGTGAACCAGTTTTCGTTTACAATGAGCTAGCAATAAATTATATCGTGCAGATTCTGCTGGAGAAGTGAAACATAACTCCTAATTTTCCGAAAAGTTTCCTAAATCAACTGATAACTTGCAATGAGCAAGTTACATCAATGTAGGTTTTGCAGAAGAAGTAAGACATTAGGAGTAAATAGACCTAAATCCGCAAAGAGACCTAAATCCACAGATAACTGACCTCTGAACTACCAGGGAAGAGTGGTTTAAGAGAGTATAACTCTGCTACAATAGCACCACATGCCCATATGTCAATAGGAGAACTGTAGTTAGTGGAGCGGAGGAGAACCTCGGGGGCACGGTACCACCTTGTGGACACGTAGTCAGTGTACGGTGGACGGGATCTGATCTCACGTGCTAATCCAAAATCTGCTATCTTTACGTTTTCCGAACCGTTACACAGAAGGTTTTCTGGTTTTATGTCCCGATGAAAATAACCTGAATGTGGAAGTAGCCAATGAAAACCTTTACGTTGAAAATGATCAAATCAGTAACAATTTATCAAATCTAAAATGCTTGCACTGGTATTCTGGATAAATAAAATTCTAGCATCGTTGATTATCAATATTTTAATTCTCACCATGTTTGTGCATGAAGGAAAGACCTTGAAACACTTGAAACATAATATTCCTTATCGAATTATCTTGAAAATACCGGTTCCTGAAGTTCTTTATCATTACAGATCACAAATTTACTAGCGTCCATAAATATTATACATATACATTATACATGTGTGTTACAAATAAAGTTGTATTTGAAATGGTGAAAATAGTATGGCTTCGGTGAGGATAATGTCGTCGTACTTACTTTTCGTATCTGGCTTTCATCATCTGATATAAATTCTCTTTCATAAATTCAAATATAAAATACAAGGTGTCGTTTTCTCTGATGACTTCTTTCAGCTTCACGATATTGGCATGATTTAATTTCTTTAGGGACTGAAAACAATCTCTGGTTGGAAGTGGTTTTTAAAGTAATCAACAAAAGCAAAATAGATTCAACCAGTCCAACACATGTGTGTATACTGTTTATAATATAATGTTGCCTAATTTCCTGGGTTCCTTCCGTTCCCCATTCGAAGGACTGACTTAATTAAATCAGATTTAACGTTTATCGAGCAAAAGTTTTCCTTACTTTTACTTCTCTGAGATCCATAGCTTCTTGCCATGATTTATACTTTCGTTTCATTCTGAATAAAAAAACATAAGGAGTTCAATTGTAATGATATCAATATCAAAGTTGACAGGCTATACAAAAATATAGGTCAGAAGAAAACATATTTCAAAATAAAAAGTATGATCACTATGATCAACACTCAATTATTAATCGTTTTGACAATTTACTTACACTTTAACTGCTACTTGTTCTCCGGAATCTACATTTTTAGCTAGACACACCGACCCATAGGTTCCTGTGATAAGAAATATGATTTCAAATAAAACAATATTGATGTTCAACACAATTTATTAGTGCCATCTCAGGAACGAAACATAATACACATATTACAAAAAGTACATGTGATTCATAATTTGATCAGCCATGTCTTCAGTTATGAATATTTGAACCTACATGACGATTTGAACATTCACTATTGACAAAAAGTCTCTAAAACACCAATCTCTCAAGTGTAAGATTCACTTACCGTCTCCCAGGGCACGCATAAGCGTGTACTTGTTGGCTACTGTCACAGTCATTTTAAATTGTCTTTATCCTGGTGACATGTTTTTACAGCAAAGCTATTAGCTGGGCGTTAAAGTGGTTAATTGAACATTATGATAGACATTTTTGTTGGTAAAAAAACAGCACAATAAATGAAACTGTTAAAGCTAACACTGACAAATGAATGTAACATGTAACATGCACTTCAATTCGGTATTACATGTCAAATGAAAACCTAAGCCTAACCATCAACAGATTATCATTCAAGAACTTAATCTTGGAGACTGAACAGAAGACAAGATAATTAAATGATGCTGATTTGAACAGATAAGAATATCAAATGACCATTAGAATTTTAGCTGAAAACAAAATATATGAAAAACTTTTATAAACAGGCAATTTTGTATTGATGGCTACTGCAAGACACATCCTGCATCACAGAAACAGCTCATTTATCAAGTGAAAATTGTATCCCTGGACCAGTTAAAAACTGTAAGTTAGGTAAAAACTGCTCCAAAGCCTGTTAAAGGGTTAGAACTCAAGTCACAAAGCCTGCAGAACAACTTTTGTAGAGTCATCATTAGAAGAGTCGAATTTCTTTGGGGACAAAATGATGCTCTCCAGGATTTATCCAACTAAACTAGAAAGATCATAAAATAAAGACTCTGCAAACATCTCAGAGAAATAATACCACCGTAAAGAATAAAGAGGGAGGATCCTGGACCCCGAAATCCACCACTTTTCTGTACTTTCAGAGGTACCAATGTGGCAGGAAACCAGGGCTCATACTGCCGCTGAGCTAAAGCAGTAGAGGGGATGGCGGCTTCTCTAGGATCTAACACGTCCTGAAGCAGACCAACACTATGTCCCAACGCACTGGCATGGTGTTGGGATGTCTGCCCCCGGTGCCTGTCCGGGTCAATAAAGCAGTCAAGCATCATGTATGTTATGTTGAGCATTCTCAACCAACAAATGTGGGAACTCCCACGAAACACCAAAACAGATCTAAAGAGACACTTAACAACATTGGAAAAATAGACTGCAATTTGTTTATATAATTTATAAAGCGTATATTATTGCCCACGTTAAGGGGCCTGTTAATAATTTATTAAATTATTAGCTATTTTAGATTTAATAATAATAACATCATCAAAACTGCGTCATCAGCAGCTATTTAAGACAATGCATTTTATTACAGCACACTGGAATTTTCGTCAAAGTTCAGGCACCCATGCATTGCTAGCAAAGTTTTATCGTCATTTTCTATTGTATTCCCCAGCTCCAGCCTCCAGGAATTACTAGTGCAAGTCTGACAGTGACGTATATGAAAAGTCAATTCTCACTAAAATACAGTGCTGTGTTCATGTTCACTGCTGATTAAATTAATTGACCTCGATCATACATTACCAAGGGATATTGACAAAATTATCACGTCGCTCACTATTTCTAAACGCAGACTGGTTTTAGAACGACGACAACGAAACAAATATGAAAGAATGAACTTCTCAAAACTTACTAATAACTATAAGTACGTCAGCATGTGGTGAATTCATAATGACCAATTACGTCTTAACTTATACTCATTGCTCATTGTTATAACTATTAAACGTTCAAGTCAAAATTGTATCATCAATGGAGATATCGAAATCTTAGATCAGAGTGACGCTCGATTTTAACTGTGGACATCTTTTACGAAATAAAATAAGACTTGTTGCGCGGCGTTTACGAAGCAAAAATATTCGGAGGTCAAAATGCTTGTATCACGTGGTGACCCCCACGGTCGCTTCACTATAGTGGACCCCTGTAGAGTTTCGACGATACAGGGGGAGCCGCGGGTCATACAACGTATGACAACAAAATGCCATATAACTTTTAAACATATTATTTATTGTGTATTATGTTGTATTGATAGTGTTTTACTGAAATAACAACAACTATCAAATCTAAAATAAATTTTTAACGTTTAACACTCAAAATGAATACAGCTACAGGCTTAGACTGGACGTTATGAATAGCTTGTACAGCATATGTAAAGATTAGGCTAATTTCCAAAGTTTTATAAAATTACACAATCTGCAATCATCAAATCAAATTATAACTACACGATTTTAAAATTTATGCAAAATGATAAATTTCATGATATCGTTTATTCAGTATCCGGTTCACAAATGATATGAGTAGTCATTTGTGTTAGCAGTTAAATTTACGAAAAATCAAAATTCTAACCGTGACGCGCAATTTTATTCAAGCCGCCGCGCAATTTAGTAAGTCACTACATTTGCGCTTATTTTGATAAAGGAGCATATAGAGCCGCGCGAAATGAGGTGATATCTGAAGGCTTGTCAATTCCCGCAGTCTATAAAAGCATGTACGTAGCTTTCTTAGCATAACTGTTCTACGCTGTGTCTTTTTAAATAACGTGCTTAGTATTAAATATTTGCCCTAGTTTCAATGTTCGATAAGCTTTACTTGCTAGTTTTATCGTTGGGGATCTTAGCCAAGGTAAATATCAGTCTGTTTTCTCATTTATTTACTTTTTACAACAAATTGATTGTTGTTCCGACTTCCGTATCTTTATAATTCATTTGATCTGTGTTACGTTTTTCAACACTATTCGGTTTTCAGTCCTCCAAATTGAATGTTTTAACATCCATACATACTCCAAGTCAATATTTACAAACTCCTCATAGTTTAACATAAAACTCAACGAGGAATCAAATTTGTATATCATTTACCATTCATTTCACTATCGTGATTCAAGCATTTACTATTTTAACATGAGCTATATCGATATTTGTAGCATAGACCTAGGCACAATAGCAGCAATATTTAAGAGTGTGTTTGCATTTTAGTGTGTAAATGAAACGTTAACATCAAATTCATAATAAGTTCCCTCCACTGGAACATCAATCTTGATTTTAAAAAACCTATCAGTACAGTTGAAAGTTTCTTTTGGGTTGCATTTTCTATCTGGGCATCAACTCGTGTACTGTAGTTCGTGCGTCTTTGACGATATTCGTACTGTTAATGATTATTATTTTCCATGCGCTTGACTGCAAGTTCTCATAAGTGCATGCTTCTTGCTTACCACTGACACCTGTGCCGTCTTTTCTATGTCGGTTATATGACATCTTCACAGTGCAGCATCCAGATACGCGTTAAATGAGCTTCGCTACAGAGTCTGAATTCTATATCTTAATGGCCAGATAAAAGAGCAATTACCATGTAGCACTTTCCTTGCCTCGTTTTATTATCCTACTGTTGAACACCGACTGAACTGGAAATAACAGCTAGCTAATACCGACCAGACTGAACTCGTAACGCGTCCACTGACTCCAGTATACAAACAGTGGTTTGAACCAAGTGGCTATTCTGCAGACCACTTTGTTGCAAGGCACGCCCTCTGGTCGTTAGCTACAAGCTAGTTTACTGCTTTATGTACTTCTTGTGCCGGCAAGGCTTGTGGTAATTAGCGGTAATAATCAAAGATAGCATTGTAGGTAGTCGTATATAGATATAGTAATGATGCAATATCAGCTGTTAACATAAAACTTACCGTGACATCCAGGTGCAGTGTATGTTCAAGTAGCTGCTCGCTAAAAGGATAAACAAGCTTTTTAAACGTGCGATAAATAACAACCACAATAGTCCGCTGGTAATCACACCACGTGCATTTTCGGATAATTTAACTTACAATTTGCCGTTAATACTGGGATATAGCATAGCGTTACCAGGTGACGCCGTTAGTAGTTAGTTTAAATGAATAAGTTAGTATAGGCCCAAGCAGGTTCGTAGCGTTAGAATTGCTCAGGAACGTCCAGAGAATGAGTCTGCCTTGATGTGTTCACAAAATATGTTGAAACCTGTACATACTGTTACAGTGTTACAGTTAACTTACAGTATGTTATTAATTCAGTCCGTTAATTGCTTAGTATGATGTGTTACACAGTTTTCAGTACTTCTACCACACATATACAAGTCAGCCCACTAAGATCCAACATCTTAATACAGTCCTAAATACTCTCCAGAACTCATCAACCATTGTTCTCTTTTTCAACCACCAGCGGTGATCACTGAATAAGTACCATGTGTAAACTCACATGCGGTGATTTAACAGATGTTATCTGGTTAGTATGATATAAAGTAAGCAGATCTGGTAAATAATCTTGTGAGCCCCTCAGATAATGATCTTCACACGTCACCCCGTCTGTCCTCTGATGTGATGACACATGTAGACTAACATGACGGCTGGTGTGGAGATAAAACACAGGAAGTGGCACTTCTTGTGGAGTTTATCGGCTGATTGGAATAGGTTAATATGGCGTATTTGGACATGTCGGTTAATTTAGTTAATTTGGGTACCTTGAATTTGCACTTCAAAATGTCAGAAAAATATAATTTTTATTCCCCGAGCAGAAGTTATTGCATCTTGATGCTTTCAAGCGTGCCCGAATAGAAAATATTACATAAATATTTTATATGTATCACAAAAATTCTCTGTCTGCATCATATCCCTAGCATCATTCCTTAGCAACATCAAACTATCAGCCATTAGTCTATCGCTATATTCATAATCGAATTTACATGATTATCATCATTTATATTAATATCAGCACTATAATTATATTACGCACTGATATAAATATATAACACAGTTCCCGCTGTTTTATTGAGCAATGATCATGCAACTTACTTTTGCCTACTTTTCAAGTACAGTATGTTATGGGAATACAGGATAATAATCTAATAATAGAACTTAACGAAATTCATGTGCTTGTCACTTGGTAGCAGTATTTTCCTCCAAAAACACAAAATAATTCATGAGCTAATAAATTGATGGGCAATTAAGTTTACAAATAAATTATACTAATGGTATTGGTCGTCCTAGGTCTCTAAGAGCCTTAATTTGATCCTAGGGTAGCAGGCTGTGTAATCATTAACACGGCCCGGCGTGTTATGCCGATTGCCGACCCATTGTAGTCCACATGAGAAATAACTCTTTCTTATCCAATCTAACCAATGAGAATGTCCCTCATATAACTAATACCACTTGCCCTTTAGCTTTATTATATACAGCCTTCCCTGGAGGTCATTACCACGGCATGTAGTGTGTAGCGATAGGTTATGACGCTATTTCCTCATCTCATATAATGCTTAGTGTGTACATTGTACACATATCAAGGATAGTGGAGATATTACGTAATATTTCAATTTAAATTATTGTGGGCTGTCATTGGTAGAGAAATTCAGTGGTTTCCCTCACGACCTGTGTATTTGTAAATATACTTTTGTTCTTGAAAATCAGTCTACACTACTGAGAGACAGAGATATGTTCTATAATGACTACTTTTACATCAACATTATAAACGCCAAGCAAGTAGCAACTGTTACTTATGCCGGCTTTAATTCAATTTTAATGTGATCTTGACAAAACCTTTGTTCGAACTTTCAAATGAAAACAAACAAATAGTATAATGAAGTATGAACCCAATAAAGAAGATATTAAACACGAGTCTGTACTAGATTTTTCTCAATTACATCACAATCACCGGTCACTGTACGACGCACGTGTACCCCTCCCACCCCAGTACTGGTACCCCAATACATGTACTCCTCCCACCCCAGTGCCACATAACGTATTGAAGTATTGACGTTAGGTAAAAGTGCAACATAGTATGATGTAAGGTAAGGCAGGTCCGCATAGTTATAACACTGGGTAACATATATTATGTAGTAATGCCTAGGCAGGAACAGAGTACGTGTCAGGAGTATATCTTGACCCGTTACATCACCCAGCCCACCTTTCAACACTGCTACTACTACTCCGTCTGCGTCAGTATTAAAGAGCATTTGTCGAGCTCTGGGTTCTACAGATATTGCTCCCACAGTATGCCACATAACTGTACATACCTCTAGATAAGTCTAGATAACTCTAGCTGGTTGTCAGGTTTTATTGCCGATATTGTTCTTAGATATTATAACTCTAGATAAGTCTAGAGATCTCTCACCGAGATAGTGCTAGTATATCTTCACACACTTTCAACACTTCGCAACATTATCTCTGTAGACTGTTTTCTTGCGAGTGTGTGTAGACTATCACAGTATCACAGGGAAGCCATAATGTGTTATATGTGCAGTGGTAGTCAGCATGAGGGCTGCTGGATTATCAGACAGGATTGATCGTAATATTCAGGCTGAAATTCTATTAATTTACAATACAGCAGATTGGACACAGGATGCATTTATTTAATGTTCATCCTTATCAGTTTTGAATAATGGCTACTATCTCAAGCAATTGAACGAGATTTGGCATTATGACCGAGATATCTCAATCACTATCAGCTCAGCGACGACAATCTATGATTAAAACCAATTCCTGGAAAATTGATACAAAATCGCATATAATATTCATTATTCTATTGTGGCCTTTTCTTTTTCCATGGATTATCATGAAAAGATTTGGTATAATTGGCTGCTATAAAAAATGGTGACCATAGCTGCACAGGTGTACAAATTCTGTACAGTTCTGAGTTCGGTTGAAAGCTACGATTTTTCTAAGAAATGAACTAAACGATCGGCATTGTCAAGTTGTCAGTTGTGTCACGCGGTATCTCCCACCACATCGCCAAGCCTTCATTTTTGTTAGCTAACAACTACAAGCGACGTTTTCGTATCCTCATTATATTAACCCGAAACTCACCCAACTCACTTTATCAAAACCTTCACAATTACAGTTACAGTCCACTTCAATTCTACAATTGTAAAACTTAACAATCACACAGAAATGATTAGTTAATTAGCTAATTAGTTGATAATTACAATTAACATCTCTCTTCCAACAGGTTCGTGGTCAGTATGAGGTAGCAGACTCTCTGGTCCACGAGAAGGGGAGATGTGTAACCTACGGGTTCAGTGAGAACAACATTCATTATAACGTTTACAATGGGGAACCTAAAGAAATCACTGACAGCAATGCTATTTCTCTCATGAAGGTACAGTTTGTTTGTTTGTTTGGTTGATGTTGTGTATTGTGTAAGTTTGTGTTTAATTAACTGTTAACAATAACAGTTAAATTATCATAAGCGTACTAAACAGTAATCACATCAGCCGTGGTATCTAGGGCTCGTAGAATGTGCAAAAGTTTCAATTTTTAGGATTTTTCCAATCCTACATTCACAGGATCCGAGATGATCTAATTTTTACTGCTGTTAATCCAATCCACACGCATATTCCCGGGCTCATTTTTTGGTCATTGTTTGATCCTGGGGGTCTTCCGCGAAACGATCTTTGTCCAACTTACGAACTAACATACGAAGATTTTGCATTTATAATGCGTATCTGTATCCATGAAATACAGTTATGATCATTTGACTTCCTAAAGTTACGAACTTTGGCGTGCAGTTACGAACTACCAAATTTTTCGCCTTAAGTCCACAAATAATTAGTAATGTGACACTTCTAATGAGTTTTTTTTCTACTTAACTGTTTACGAACTTCTTAAGTTCGTACGTAACATGATAGAAATGGGATTAGTTCGTAAGTACGGGTTGGGGTGTACTTACGATCAAAATATTAGTTCTTAAGTCAGAAAAAATAGTCATTATTCTCAGGCTGACGTTGTCGATCAATACAATTCTATCCTAAACAACTTTGGATTATAACGTGAACGTATGTTTCAACATTTTTAATCAGAGTAAATAAAAGGTAATGATTCTACAATAGAATCGTAAAATTAAGATTAGCATTATTGGTATTAGATAGGGTATTATACTATCGTCATGCTATTATTATAACTAAAACATTTATACAATATACATGCATATAATAACTTTCACTTAAAATACGTATCTGTAATCAATTTCCGGGTCATGAACCCCATCAACAAGCTGTTATTTGACGGCTGCGAATAAGGTCCCTGTCTCGCAGCTGCCTCCCGAGCCTCATTTTCTTCTTGTATGTCGTCCTCAATATCAGCTGCGATCGTGAAAGGAATGTTCTGATCTGGCACAGATGCTAATGCTGGTACTAGTGCTGGTGCTGGTACTATCACAAGTGCTGCTACAAATGCTGGTACATGTGCTGGTACAAGTGCTGGTATAAATACTGGTGCTCGTTCTAATGCAGGTGCGGCAAGAGCGCCGCCAATTTCGAGTAACCGTACTGTTACTCGTGATGTCAGAAGAGCTGAGTACAAACAATTGTTAGACCGGCAGGATACCATGAACGCGAATTTAAAACAGATCGTTCAGCTCATGAAACTGAAGCTACAGATGAAATATCCGCAAGGAAATTTCAATTTATAAATACATAGATAATAGATATTCTTTATATACTTTGAAGCATGGAATGATAACATTATACCAGGACTATATTATATCAGGACTACTAAAAGGTTTACAATAATTAACTATTCATTGTACATCATTTTAAAAAATGAAAATGTTTATTCGTTGTATATAACCTTTGCAATACAGAAAATAACACACAAACCTTAACAATGGCAGAACCAAAATGTAGTAACCCCTGATCTCAATGCAAATTAGATTGCGAAGACAACATTTTAAACTTGATACTTCCAAACAAGGAGCTCTGGGATCCCTTATTCGGTGGTAATTATCACACACGATGGTTCGCTAATTCTATCAATGATGGGACACTAAGTTCGTAAACTCCGGTTCGCGGAAGACACTCTCTCTAATAATTTTCTCAAAGTTATGAAGTTTCGTGGATGTACTTAGTGATAGTTCGTAAGCTGTTATTAATACGTAGGAACTTACGTACTATGTTACGAAGAATTTTCGCGGAAGACCCCCAGGCCCGGCCCTGGTCGTTTCCACGCTAGCTAATTGGTGTGTAAGGAATGGTAAAATGCAATGTAATCCATTTAAAAGACAGTCTTGATGTGATTTGCCTCGATCGCGTGTAATAATTTATGAAATATTAGATCAAGACAAAGAATAGTATCTTGATAAACGGAAAAAGAGCTACCGTTTTGCATCGTGAAGCAGCTTTTTAACTATCCGCCCCGGCGTGCACTTTAATATTCGGCTCTATTAGTTTCAGTACGTCTTCTAGTTCTGTAGAGAGGTGCAATTGTTAAAATTTAATTCTAAAATTATTGAAAACTGAAACAATACGTTTACTCATATAATTTATAATATGTATAATTTAATATTTCCGCTCCACTATAATATAATATTGTTACTCCAGCGTTTAGTTTAATTCTAAGTGCTGATAACACGGACGTAATATAGATGATTATTTAAAAAATTAAAGGATGGGCTGAGTACCCTTAAGTAGTGTTCCACATAAAAATGGATATCAATTCCTGGATTATTGCGTTTACTGCATTTTATAATCGACGGGTTTTGAAAATACCGCGAACAAAGTGATGGTCTAGTTGTTTTGATTTATGGTCAGAAGATGGATGTTACATGAAATAAACTTTAAACCACCGTAACCAGGACTAACACTCAGCATGATAACACTAACAGTTTACGGCTAATATACTCCAACTTTAATGAGCAGACTTGTTAACTTTACAACGACAGTTTCCCTCGTGACAACTCCGTTTTCTTCAGTGAAATGCCCTCTTTCACTTCTTATGTTAAAAGTGTCTCTAATAGCACCCGTTATTTTAACAAAATACCATCTGTTATCATGCTGTTCTCAAATCAACTTGGCTACGTGCCTTTTAGCGTGTTCCTGTTATTTGAGCCAACTTTTCTAAATATAACAACTGGTTTAAATTTAGAGTGACGATTAGGTATGGAAATATAAAGGTGCCAAGTTTTGAACATATTATATTCGCTGATAAGGGCACTTAAAATAAGTGCCATAAATAAGATAATGTAATTTTTACAGTCTGCTTCTCTCAGTAAAAGCTGTTCATACTGCCCGAAATTGCCCATTTCTGTTTAAATTTCGCTGAAATATCTCACGGAATTTTCCCAGAAGGTTTATCAGATTTTTTATAAGTTTAACGATATATATCTGATATCCCAGGTATATGTAGGAAGTGATTGCTCTTGGGAAGATATTGAGTTTGATGGCAATAAAATAATTCTAAAATTTTGCCCTAACAAAAGTTATTATAAAAGCTAAGCCCACTTCCTCCCCAACCGACAACAAACACAGTTTCTTAGTCGTGATATTATCCGCTCATTCTATATCAGGTGCTAAATACTGCACAACTTTAATTAATCTAATCGCACTGTTACGGAACAGCGTGTCTGCAGTGTGCAGACAGGCTGGTGTGCCTGCACAGAATCTACACAAGTTACAAGTTACCAGTTACAAGTTACCAGTTACCAGTTACCAGTTACCAGTTACTACAGGCTACAGCAGCAGCTCTCTGCACAGACTGGATACAGCCTACAGGTCATATTTAAAATAGCAGCTGACGTGTTCCCTGGTTGGCTAGACGTGTTGAGATCTTGTGTCTTGTTTGGATGGATTGAAAATGACGTAGATCACTTTGGTTACCTGTTTAAGAAGCTGAAATGCTATAAATTAAATTTCATGCCAGCTAGATTGGTCGTCTTAATCCAAGCGAAGATACGGAGTATTAATGCTATTACCAGTGTATCACAGCTCAGCTCATGAGTATATAATCAAGAGGCTTGCATATGAACATATTGTATGTGATATAGATTGTATGTGATATAGATTATAGGGGATAATATACCGTGGCAATACTATACTCAATACTAAGAATTGAGCTCTAGTCCTGTGTAACGAGCCGCACCGAAATTAAAACAATATAACTTACCCCGCTGTTATCAACATTCCAAGTATCACTATCTAACTTCCTGAAGCAGTGAGCCTAGACATATTTCATTACGGGTTTGTTTCATGTCTATTCAGGCTGAGCTGTTGATAAATTTATATCTGAAAGTAAATCCTATTGAATGTAAATGAAATGTGAACAATGCGCTTGATAACTGTGATGTGCTAATGCGATTCTACACTCTCGTGTGGAATGTGGATTGTGGGTGTATCGAACTATTGATTGTAATTGTATCACTGCTTGAAATAGACCAACAGAGATATTTTGTGTGGAAGTTACATGTGGGACCTGGTATCGACATTCTCATTGTTAGTGTGGAATTTATATGAGTTTGCGTGGAATTCTGGTAATTCGCGGTAATCTAATTGTGATTAGAAAATGAACAATCAGAAAATGAACAATCTTGGTAAATGAGTTTAAGTGTGCCTTCCGTGAAACATTCCGGTTAACCAGTAGAGTGCAAAAATGTATAAAATCATGGTTATTACATCATTTTTACTGAACATAATGTAGATATTTTACAATATTATATCATATTTGTGTATGTATGCTAATTCTGATTAGACTGCCATCTCGTGATCTCGTCAGACCACATCAAAAAGTTTTTGAACTGTTAAAACCGTCCATACTCCATACTATACAGATAAAAGTCTCAAAAAGTTACAGACTACAGTTATACACAGGTCATAGATAGAATCCATCATGAAAATCCTCACAATTCTCAATCGTATTCTACAAATAATACCAGACAAGCATGCAAGCTCTACCACTCCCTAATTACCAGATCACATGACAAAAAAGCAATAATTTACGGGTGTGTAACACTACTGTGTCCACCCGCCTCCCACTTCAGCTCCAATAAAGATGGCATAATGACACCACTAAACCAACCAGTATAATGGGATCTACCTTCCTTCAGGTCAGTCCATTGATTAGCTTACAATGGAACAGCTGTAAGGACGACTAAGAGCTCATTTTCAGCAATTAGTCTTCTGGGCATATTTGGGCCATCAGCCATATTTTGGGGACCTTATAAGGTCTCAAACTGCTAGGCATATTGAAGTGGGGCCCAGTTACTAGCCCTACACTAATTATGATCGGCACATGGCAGGGTACATCCTGTCATCGCAGCTCAGTATCATTGTGATTCTCCACAGGCCCACCCCCATAATATTACAACAACAAGCCCGATACTTAGTGCGT